TTCAACATAAATAATAGATTGAAATACCGTTTTAGGTTCCACTTATAGAATCCAAGCTGCGAGTCTGCATCAGCAGATAGACCCCTTAGAACATGGATGCAGCGGCATAAGCCACTTGCAATCCTCACTTCACTAGAAGTATGAGGGGCAGAGCCACCAAACACAGTGTGCAAAATGGGCAAAAGCAGGGCAGAAGGGGATAGGAGAAAGTTCATTCTCTCTCCCAGGCAGCCTGTACTGGTGAGGCTCCAATGGAGACTTGGCTGGACCTTGGAGCTTCCTTCCCTAGAAGGAATCTGTGGGGAAGGCCAGCAGCAGTACCACAGCCTCCATTTTCCAATAAGATAAACCCCTCCTCCCTCCAACCCCACACACACCCGCCACCAACACATGTTTAGTTGTCCCTGCAATTACAGGGTGTACACATGCATAGTTCACCCCCTGCTCTGTCCCTACAGTAGCAAATCAGGCCCAGTACGTTTTGTGACATAACTGCAATGAAATCTATATTAAGTGAGCATTCAAGACACCAGTAAACATTTGCTTGATGGAGATGGTCTTAATAAAAGTGGAGAAGAACTGTACTCATTACTTGGGGGAGGAATACTTTGAGATGGTCTCTTGAAATGAGAGTTAACTAATAAGAGTGGTCTCCTGTACAGGCTTGTAGTTGATTCTGGGATTGATCCTGCTCCCGTTTTATACTTTCATGGACTTAAAGGCCAGAAGGCACCATTAGATCATCCAGTCTGACCTCCTATATAAACACAGGACATTAACCTTCACACAGATACCTTAATTTTAAGCCCAATCAATCTAGTTAGACCAAAGCATTTCAGTCAGCAGGAGACTGAACTGTTGTGTGCCACGAGCAGAGAACAAGAGGGATGATGGTACCACCAATGCCCGAGGCCCCTACATGGCAAAGAATTGATTAGGCAAGATATGCCTAGTCAATCCTAGCAGGTGACCAGCACCCCATCCTGCAGTGGAACATGAACCCCCATCAAGATCCTTGCCAATATTACCTGGGGGGAAATTACTTCCTGACCCAAAATCTGGTAACCAGTTTGGCCCTGAATATATGGGCAAGACACACCAACTGGGCATTTAAGAAAGAGCATTCTCTGTACCACCTCACAGCACTGGTCCATCCTGTCTGGGGTCCAATCTCCAGCTGTGGCCAATCTCTGATGCTTCAAAGGAAGGCAAACCTTCTCCCCACCGCATACATCTGCAGTGTACTGAAGCCAAAAGGTTTTGTCACTGACTTCACTGAAGCAGAAATGGAATTTTAACTTAGAACACCTCCAAGCAATGAAGTGACTGTGTATAACACATGCTATCTGCAGACACATCTCTAAGTACCATCAGGCACAATCTTTGTGCCCATCACTGGAGATCAGTTTAGGGCTGAGCTGGGGGCTAACATATCAATGAATGAGAGTTACAACCAAATGAGCTTTGTTCTTGTTTTGCCATCGTAGTTTAGATTTCTTCATAATGATGGAAACACCTTCCATTGGCATGGAAAGCAAAATTCAATTCCAGCTTTAATGGAAGCTGTGCCAGATGTGACAATTGTTCCAGCTTTGTTTGCCAATTCAGTAATGTAAGTCAAGTTTCTTTTCTCGGGGGGTAATTCTTTCTAAAGAATCTCTGGGTTGAAAGCCAGTAACTCGCTGCCAACAGGTTCAATACCCAACCCCACGATCTGTGCCACCAACCAAGCCTCCATTATCAGAAATGGGCTCTAGTTATTAACTTCCTAACATGCTAAAGCCCCATATGGACTAATTTTACTATTTGAAAAGTATTCAGTTTTTAGCTATCATGCCATTGCTTATTTACTTGAAAAAAGTAATCATAATTTAACAGCTCTGAAGATATACTTCAAGAGGGTGCAGGGCCAATATCATGACCCCAGGAAGCAAGAAGTTAATTCTGGCTTCCTTCCTTTCCCCTCACACAGGGAAATAAGGGATATAAGAACAGCTACTGGGAATCAGAAAAAGGAGATTTCCTGCAGGAGGACAGAGCTCCACACCAAGTTTTTAGGTAGGGGGTTGAAACCAAGGCTAGAGAGGGCTTGTATTTTGGTTTCATTTATGGTTATAAAGATTTACTTTTGTTTGTGGGTTGAACTCTATATAGATCTAAAATCTCCCTTATCTATATTGCAGACAACGCTTTAGGTCCAAATTCCACAGTCATTTCCAAGCAGGTGAACCCTTATGCCCAAGCAGACCCAATGGCAGGATAAGAGTCTTAGATTATTTTGAGAGAATTTTTAAACATATAATTTCACTTTTTACTGAGTAAGTTATTTGGTTACCGTCTGCATGACTTTCAGCTTGGATAAAGAAATTATCTAGATCAGATTTGTTTTGATACTGATTATCCAGGATTTTGTTTTTTAAAAAAATCTTTCCATTGGAATTAAAGTAATACAGAAACATTCTTTACTTGTGTCAGGTTTTGAAGGAGCTAAGTGTTACACAACTGAAGGGTCCAATTCTGCATCCACTGACATCAGACAGCTCCAAGCGTGGAGATAAATTTGGCCTGACTCACACCTCTGAGTTGAAAGAATATTACAATTGCAGAGCTGAAAACAAACCTTCCTGGAATTAAGATATATTAACTGTTAAAGGGTGCTTTTGTTTTAACCTAAGTCACCAGAATAAACAATTAAATATCCTAATTTGAAGTTTTCTTGTCACAAAAACTGTCTTCACATATTGAAAAGCAGAGTCACTGCTTAATTACTTACCTTGCAGGAATCCTCTCCTATATATCTGGAACCCATCTGTAGTCTTATTACCACTGGTTCCTTGAACATGGAGGCCAGTAATATTGTCCAGCAGAATGAGATCTGTGACATTGGATGCAGATGGTGTGTTGGTATTATTTATCAGAAGTCTTACATATGCAGTTTGGAGATCATGTTGAGTAGCCACCTAAAACCAGAAATACCAATAGTTTTGTTTTGGAGTGAAATGGTAGTATTTAGCTGCAAATTACTAGGCCCACTTAGTTTAGAGTGTGTGCGTGCATGTGTGTGTTAAAGCTTTTTTCTTTGAGGGCATTTTGAGTGACCTGCTGACAACATCACACTCCATTTGATTTCAAACTCCTAGAGAGATTTTAATCTCCTACACGTCAAGCTGTTGCTTGGCGACAGTGCAATAGAAAAACCTGTAGTTTGAAATCCAGGATAACAGCTCATGCAGAGAAAGGACTGAGTGAAAACAAGAATCTGAAAATCCCAGAGAGACCTCATACAGGAGAATTGGAATGCAATGTTCTAATCAGGTTCTGGAAAATTCATAACACTCAGCTTTGGCAGCATGAAGAGAAGGCCCTTAATGCACGTCACACTTGCTATCACTTCATTCTCCTGATGCAGCTTGATCTCCTATTTAACCCCTGGTCTGCAAGGGTTATACAGCCTCTTATTCCCCCCGCCTCACGGGCTTGCTAACTCACCTTAGGACCCATGGGTAAGGCTACGATTTCGTCACGGAGGTCACGGCAGTCACGAATTCTGTGACTTTACTGGACCTCCGCGACTTCTTCCGCTTCAGCTGTCAGCAGCTGAAGTGCGGGGTGGAGGCAGGACTGTGGAATCACAACCCTGCAGCCCCAGCCCCGCAGCTTTCACCAGGGGCTGCAGCCAGGGCCGTGTGCTCTTTCCCCACAGCATCCCAGGACTGTGCACCCCCCACGGCTGTGGCCAGCTCCAGAGCTGGGGTTGCACATCCCCCACTGTGCTCCAGCGCTGCGGCGTCTGCCGGGGGCTGCAGCCAGGGTCGTGCGCCCGAACCCTGTGGCGGGAGTTGCAGCGGGGGACTGTGCACCCTGTCCCAACAGCGTCCCAGGGCTGTGCACCCCCACCACCGGCTGTGGCCAGCTTCAGAGCTGAGGCTGTCCACCCCTCACTGTGCCGCAGCCCCGCAGCAGCTGGGGGCCGTGCTGCAGCTGGGGCCATGCACCCCGGCCCTGCAGCTTTTGCTGCAGCAGGGGCTATGCATCCCTGCCTTGTGGCCTCCCCAGGCCGTGTGCCCCCTCCTGACTGCGGCCAGGGCTTGTGGGCTCTGAAGCTGGGGCCGCGCATCCCTATCTTGCAGCTGCGGCCATCTCTGGAGTCGGGGGCTGTATGCCCCCCTGCTGGCTTGTCAGTCCCCGTCCCACCCATGGAACTCCATTCCTCCCCCCTATTTAGCCCTGCCCCAGTTATTTTTAGACAATATGGAACGTCCCCGTTCTGCTGCAAGGCACAATTCCTGGACTGCTTCTCCTCTAGTTGCTCCTCCTTGCAACCAGCTCTCTCCCAACAAACACTGGCCTTGCTGGGCTCAGCCCACCTATTGGGAAGTCCAAGCCATGTGCTTGCGCTCTGGGGCCTAAAGTTGGTCACCAGGACATGCCAGCTACACTCTGGCCCCAGTAACTCTTCCTCCTCCCAAACATGGAGTCTTTCCATACTCAGCTCACATGTTGGGGCATTCCCAGCCATGTCCAAGGTGTCCAGGGTCTGTAGTAGATGCAGGATGCATCTGTTATTTACTTTGTGTGTGTTGTACTTTAAATTTCTAGGAGTCTAGGCTGCAGCTCAAAGCAGCCGTTTTGTGAGGCAGTGCAGTGCAGACTGCTACTGTGGAGACACACACTATTACGTTCTCCCGCTTACTTTGATTCTTCTTGTTTTTACAGATTATTACTGTTACTGTTATTTCTAGTCTAAATTTATCTAGCTTTAACTCCCGGCCACAGGATCATGTTATACCCTTGTCTGCTAGACTGAAGAGCCCATTATCAAATCTCTGTTTCCCACGTAGTTACTAACAGACTGTGATCAAGTCACCCCTTAACATTCTCTTTGTTAAGCCAAACAGATTGAGCTCCTTGAGTCTTTCACTACAAAACATGTTTTCCAATCCTTTAATTATTTTCATGGCTATTCTCTGAACCCTCTCCAATTATGTAATAACCTTCTTGGATTGTAGACCCAGAACTGGACACAGTGTTCCAGTAGCAGTCACACAAGAGGTACTATAACTGCTCAACTCTTACTCCATAGTCCCCTGTTTATACATCCAAGCCCTTTTGGTCACAGCATCACACTGGAAGCTCATGTTTAGCTGATTATCCACCATGACCTGCAGTGTCACTGTTTTTCAGCGTCACTGCTTCCCAGGATAGAGTCTCCCAACCTGCAAGTGGGGCCTGCAGTCTGCCCCACAGTTTCGTCATTCAGCATGGGCTAAGAGGGGGCTCTCACATATTTATATAGATTCAAATCTTCCATAACACTGTTCCATCTCTATTTAGCAGGCCTTGGCCTGGATCCACAAAGGGATTTTGTGGTTGTAATACCTAAATAATCTGCGTCTTGGAAATCACAAAACTCCACAAATCCTTTGTTAGGCACCTACACTTTCTACTACACAATGCATGGAGAGAGACAGGTGCCTGAGAATGGAATCCACAAAAGTCAGCACACACTAGGTGCGGGAGTCACCTAAGCTAGCCAATAGGAATTGCAAACAAGAAGGGTGTGGACTACAGAGTCATTCAGAGTCTCTCTCTCAGTCTGGCCCAGGGCAGATTTAATTATTTCTATAAAACTTCAAACAGGAGAGACTGATCTCCCATCAGAATGTCCCACAGTCCAGTGGTTAGGGCCCTGACCAGACGTGAGAAGTCCTGTTCCAATCTCTTCTCCTCAACAGGCAGAGAAGGGAACTGAACTGAGGTCTCCCACATCCTGGGTGAGTTCCCTAACCATTAGGCTAAAGCTTACAAAGGAGACTTCCTCCTGCTCCCTCGCCGTTTTGTGTGGAGATCGGCATGCTCAGAGCACACCTACTGGATCA